AAAAAAATAGTTGTAATGTTTAGTTGATACTACATTTGATAGCTTATGAATAAATTGGTCATAGCGAGTGGCTAACAGGCAACAACCAAAAAATAATTGCTTGGTTTATAATGAAGTTTATTTTAATATATGAAATTTATAAGTTGATCAAACAATTAGGTTCTATACTTACCAAACACACTCAAGTGTTGTTTTGTATGGTGTAAGGCTGTAAGCTACTAAGCTTAAAAATATGTATAAAATATTTCACGTTAATCTATATCACATACAAGATGTAGTTAAGATAATAATCAAGCCTCAAGCTCAATGTAAGGACTTCCATAACACTATCAATAAATGTGTGCATTATCCAATTTGTAACTATGTGGAATGATAATTTTATGTTGTATTTCTTTATATTTTTAATTATTATGATTCGTATTACTTTTAAAAAACATCAATAAATATATTTCATGTATATAAATTCAGAACGTGCTGAGTCTAAGTAGCAAACTCGCATGTTTCGGGATCCAAAATTGCATCCTTCATTATTAAACTTGGATAGATTTTAATTTACTTCTAATCCAAAAATAATCAATTCTTTGTAAAAACAAAAATAAAATTTAAAATAATTATTCTCATAAATTTTAAAATTTAAGAAATAATTTTTTAACAAGCAACTCGAGGTGTGGTGTTCAACCTTTTATTTTTTTCTCTAAATGATAGATTTTATAACAAAAATACAAAGATACAATTAGACATCAGCCAGAATAAGTCAAGTACCAAGCCGAATCTGTGCATCCTAGAAATTTTTAATCTCATCCTAGAAATTTTTAATCTCAATTCAGTCAATCAATTTATCAAAAACTATCCATTTCCTCCTCCGCCTTTTGCAGCCTCAGCTCAGCCATGGAGTCCGGCGACGATCCTCCAAAAACCCTAGTAACATCAACCAAGAGGTATCTTCCCTTTCCTTCTCCTTTTACCTTTTCCTTTCTTTTTTTTGTTCTGATAGTTGATCGAATCGTTTTACGATACTCAAAACAGTTAAAAAACAGTTATTCGGATCTTCGCACTTGATTTTGCTTGTTTTAGTATGCTGCGCTTCTTATTTTCCATTTTTTTTTTTCGTGTCTGAATCTGGTGATTAGCGTTGTTCTAGTGCTGAGATAATTCGATCATTTTAAGAATCCATAGCCTGCCTGAGAACCCATTTTGTCGAGTTGCCCTATGCATTCTATTCAATAATGTTGTAACACCATATTGACATTTATAGTCTCACCCCAGACACAAATGTGCCGCATGTTTCAAACAGTACAAGAAAAAAGAGCACCTTGTTGCCCACATGAAAGCCTCTTACCACTCGGTTCACCAGCCCAGCTGCAGCGTGTGCCGAAAGCACTGCAAATCGTTTGAATCGCTAAGGGAACATACGAATGGTGAAAGTGTTTTTACTTCAGTTACACGCTTTGTGTGCCCAAGTGTCGATTTTCGGTACTTTTTTTTATTTCTTTATACTTGCTTATCTGAAAACATTCAGGTCCCATTGCGAAAGGAGATTGCTCGAGAATCTTTGCAGAAAGAGGTTGTGGTCTGTGTATGAGAATCTTTGATAGCCCAGCTGTTCTTGAAGAACACCGGTACACGTGTTGCCTTCCTGCCCCTGTTCCTCTTGTGAGTCTTAAAGGCATTATTCTGTTTTTGCTACACTAATCTGAAAGAAAAAAGAAGAGAAAAAAATGGTCTTCTTTTATGTAGTTGCATACAAGAAAGAAATTTCTTTGTAGTAAAAGGAGTTTTCTGCGAAAAAATGAAGTTAGACGAGTGACAACGAATGAGATGATTCAGTTATGGTTAGCAATAAATACTAATTGTTTAGCATATGCATTTGTTTCCCTCAGATAAATATTTTTTTTATAAGTCAATATTTAGTAAATACTTGAACAAACCTCATACGTAAACCCAAGCTCCGCCTTTTTTACTTCGTTTTTTTAAAGCTGTCATTCAGGGAAGTATGAAGAAGCCTTATTCGGAATCCCTAATATATGACCCTCCACCGAACAATGAAAATGTCGATTTTGGTCATTCTGAGGCAGTTGCTTTGGAGTGTGAGATGGTCGGTTGTGGTAGTGATGGGTCCCTCGATGTGTGTGCAAGGGTTTGCCTTGTGGATGAGCATGAGAAGCCGATTTTCCATACTTACGTTCTACCCCAAATTCCAGTCACCGATTACAGGTGGCTTCTATTTTGTATGTAGATTGTGGTTTGAACTTTGTTCATGTGTATTATATATTAATTGGTAATTAGTGTTTGCTTTAGGTACGAGATTACTGGCATCACTGAGGATCATCTGAGAGAGGCCATGCTTCTCGAGGAAGTGCGTGGGAAGATTCTTGATATTCTCTACAATGGGGAGTCGATTGGGATATTGAGGCTGCATGGAGGGAAAGGTAGAGTTCTCGTGGGCCACGGGCTCGATCACGATTTGGATCGCCTAAAGATGCATTATCCAGATCTTTTGATCAGGTGAAGTAGTTTGGTCATTGGTGGTGGTTAAATGTTATTTCCGTTTTTCACAGTGAATGACCAAAGGAAAAATGAAAATAAAAAAGTTGATTTGCAGTTGATTAAGGCTATATTTGGTAACCAAATAAGCTAGCTTATAGTTAGTTTATAAGCTTTATGTATTCAAATAAGTTATGTTTGGTAGGACAAACTTTTTTAAAAAACTTTGAGCTTATCTCATAAGTTTTTTTGGGTATCTTTTAAAATAAGCCAGTTAGTTTATCAGTAAAATTAGTGAACACTTTTATCATATAAGCTAGTTTTTAGCTACAAGTAATAAGCTCGAAAATCACTTTTAAACTACAAGCTACCCTTTTTTTTATCAAACATAGCTTGAGTTTATAGCCTAAGTTTATAAGTGGAATCACATTCCCATTTGGTCACTTGAACTCAAAGGGCATATGAAATGAGGAGTACAATAAAGTGGAAAGTTAATAAAAGGAATTCTATATTTTACTAAATAAGTATTTTCTTTCCTTATCTGCAGGGATACAGCAAAGTACCCGCCTTTAATGAAGACGAATCTCGTAAGCCACTCGCTCAAATACCTAGTTAAGACCTATCTCGGGCAAGTTTTTCTCATCCCTCGATTATCTTTGGTTTGCCGTTCCATTTTGCAAATGCCATGATATACTTCCATTTAACATTCGTTGCATGGGGATCGGGTATAACTTATATCACATTGTTATAGCTAATGCAATGGTTGCATAAATTAGTCCGGATGTTTAACCTAATCACAACGAGTTTCATCATTTTTAAATATTATGATTAATTCTTGAAATATCATAAATAGCCTTCACAAGTAAATAGTACGAATCTCGTGCGTTGCCCGAGTAAGAGATATTCATTAATATTTGTAAATTAAAAATGCTCATTAAATAATATTTATAAAATGAAATATAGAATCAATATGTAATATAATTTACCTATATTAATTTATTTAAAATGTTACATGAAATTTAAATTGTGCAGAATTACATAGAACATGCATATTTAAAATTAGTATACAACGGTGCAAGTAACTGAGAATAAATTATATTTTATTCATTTTAAAATAAGTGTTATTTTAAAATTTTTATTCAGAAATTTGATTTGACTAATTCCATAAGATAATTATTTTGGTAAAATTTTGTCATATTTAAAAATATGTGGAATAATACGTATAATTATAAAACTTATATTGTTTCATTAATTAAAATGGATTTATTTTGTGTAAATTATCCAAATAAAAATTATTTATTTGAGTAATTTGTTAAAATATAAATAATTGACTCTTTCATTTACGTACCCATAAGTTATGAATGATTACTTATTTGACGTTTAAATTTGAAACTCAAATTTAGACTACACAATAAATAGTTATGTATGTATGTGTGTGTGTGTGTGTGTAATCTCGCGACTTTCTAGATTTGTTGTCTGTTATCTTATTGTTCAGATTTATCAATTAACTAGTACAACGCACGTGTATTACACTGTTTGCTATTTTTTTTCTTAAAATCTAAAATTAATGAGAAAAAATAGTTAGAAAATTTAGTTACCTTTTATAAAAATATATATATTATTATATATTTAGTATGACACCTTTTATTTGTGTCACTTACTTGTGTTATACTATAATAATTTTTTTAATTTACAACATATAACTACATTAAACATAAATATATCAATTGAGAAATAATTTTATTTTCTAATAAAATTTAATAAATATTATTATTTTTTATTATTATAAAGATAAATATAATTTATTTATTCTATATATACAACATGGATGTCAAATCGAAGATCATGAAAAGATGATTAATTTGAAATATTATATATGTAAAACCGATAAGAAATACAAAAATTACCAACTTTTAAAATACATTTATAATTCAATAGCTAATTGAAGGAAACAAATCAAAAGTCAGAGATATATTAGTCACTTAGTGCCTCACTATGTAAAATTACAAAGAATTAAAGAATTATATTAGTACAAGTGACATTAAAATGCCTAAGTTAGCTAAATAATATTTATAGAATGTCTGAACCTAGATTATTAAATATTAATATATCAATATTATTTGTCCAAGCTTAATTACGAAGCATGATTCTTCGCCCAGTAGGATTCCGAAGCACCAGAAACAACCACGTAGGCTCAGCGCATTCGAGAATTATATATAGAGGGGATTCTCTAGAATTGAATTACAAAAATTAACCATTATTTGTTAAAAAACTTTATGATTTTCAAGAGGAATAAATACTAATTTGCCGAATTATCACCAGTATCTTATGACAAGTTATTATGGAAATATGCTAAAATTTGAGAATCATATCACTTGATTTTATAACATATCAACCTAAAATTTGACTTCATATCCATACCAAATAAAATTCATCCCACTTATATTTATTTTCAAAATTTCCAAATATACTTCTATCCTTAATAAATAAATTCCATATCAAAATAAAAACGCACACTTTATACCGGACATTTATCAATAACAACACATTTCCTACCAAAAGTAAAAATGGCCATCACAAACTTCAAATAAAATTGCACACTTCATATTAGAATTGAATTTATTAATTTTGCCAACTTTATACCATAAATTGATTAATTAATTTAAAGAGGCGGATTTTTTTTTTTAAATTTTTAAAAAGATTATCAAGTTTAGTAATTTAAAAAATTTTAGGAGGAATTTTAGTTTGTATTTCAAGTAAATACAAACTTATATATATAATTTTTAAAATATATACTACTTATATATAATTTTTAAAAACTTATATATATATACAAACTTATATATATAATTTTTAAAAATTCCAAAGCATATAATATTTTTATACTAATTACATGAATCATGACTTTAAAAAATCTTTATGTATAATTGATGTTCGAATTACAATTATGCAACGTAATAAACAAAGGATTGGGTATTCGTATAGGCTCGGAAGCCTATATTAATAACATAATTACATAATAAAGATTTATATATGGAATAATAAACATAATGCCGAATAAAATTGTTCACATACTTTTATAGGACACAAATGAAGTATCCTTGTAAAATTTAACACACGAGTTACAATCACAATTTCAATCATTTAATTTAAGTCGGGCAACTGTCATGTAATCCATTACCCATTTCGTAGCCATTACCCATTTCATAGCCGCAATATATTATATATACACCAAATAACATACAAAATTTAAACCATGCAACTAATAAAGGTAATAGCCGCAATATTTGACCAACATGACTATGTACATTAATTATATTGACTTTTTTAATTTTAATTTAAAAAACTGATTGCCACGTGTCAAAAAAATTCAAAAATGTTACCAATGAATGTAAAAAAAAAAAAAAAAATTAGACGGGATTTCAGTTACTGTTTCAAGTAAATACAAACATTTTTGTGTCATCAATTTAGCTACTCAACTAAATGGGAATATTTCTAGGAGTATAGCTGCCATGATGTTTTGGCATAATCCATAATTCCATATGAAGGTATGAAATCCAGTCAAGATTGCATGATCCATATGAAGGTTGTGTATCTGTAATGAGACTCTACAAGAGATTACGCGCTGAAAAGCACCAAACGGGCGGGAGAAATTTGTCATTGGCTTCTCGGTTTCCGCACAGTCTGTTGAACGGCTACGATTCATTCACCCCCCGAGAAATCGAGAATATGACACCGGATGAGCTTTTTGATATCTCGAAAGCAAATTACAGGTGCTGGTGTTTGGATTAGCAGCTAGATAAGATCGAAATTTCATAAATTGTTGTTTTCATATTTCATATTTGAACCAGCTTTAGTTGAACATTATGTTTTTTTAACCAACTTTATTGTGCCTGTTTTTTATTTTTAGAGGAATTCTACACTGATTTTATAAACAATTTTTTAATTAAAAGTATTCTATAACTTTATAAATGTATATTTTAAAAGATTACCTATTGTCTCATTATGCCCTCTAATGTTAAAATTTTAAAGTCATCATGATAGGTTGACTATAATATTTATATTTTTAACAAATTTATGTCTAGAATCATAGAATTTAATTAAGTTTATAATTATTAATATACCTACAAATCTTTATCGGTGCTTTATTTCAAAAGATTTAATGAGAATTCGAGACCTTTAGATTCAATTACTTTTTGACTCTAGCTTACAATTATCTTATTATTTTCAAAAGTTGAGAATCTCGAATTTTGGAAATAATACTCCCTTCTATTTTTATTATTTGTTATCCTGACTTAATTGATAATTGATTAAATAAATGTCGTTTTGACTATTTTATTCTATTTTTCATTTTTAACCCTCAATTGAATACATAGTCTCTTCATATCCCATCTCTATTGTTTCCCATAACATCCATTAAATAGGGTTAATATTGGCAAGAAAAAAATTTCTTAATTAATGTGTTGTTTCTCAAAACGACAAATAATAAAAATAGGAGGGAGTAAGATAATTGTAATTAAGATTGCAAATGATCTCGTTTAGTTAACCTAGTCTAGTTAAAGGGTTAGATTTAGGTTATAGAGCTAAGTTACCCGTGTTATTGGCATTTGTGGATGATTATATTACTTCTTTCATTAATTAAAAATTAATTTATCCATGCAATGCCCTATTTATATTGAACATTTTATAATCTCTAATTAATTATGTGCACATGCACTGATGCAAATACAAAATTTACAAGTTACATATGAATATTATTATATTTAAAATTATAAATTTTATAATGTGCATACACATTTTACTAATTTAATTATTAGTAAAAACGAATAATAATTATAAATGATTTTATTAGATATGAATGTAGGTTGCATAAAATATAATTAATAGTGTAATTTTACAAATTTAAGAAATCGATAACCAATTAATTGATTGAAAAGAAATAAATTTATTATTATTATAGAAACTATTTTTGCGATTTTAAGGGATTTGCTATACCATTAAGCCAAGTAGTTGTTTAAGCTAAATAAATCTTAATGAGAGAAAAATAAAAGATAACATTAAGTTTATAATATATAGCTTTAAAAATTTTGCTATAGATTTTTTTGCAAGTATGTAACTTTCATAAACATATTAGTGTAAATTTATAATTAATTAACACTAATATTAACTATTACATGATAGAATAATTGAAAAAAAAAATATTACACTTAATTAATGCATAATGTAACAGTTAATTTTCATATTCAAATAAAAGAATAAGCCGGAAAAATATAACTGAAAATAGATAGCCTGCAATCATATATATAATAGATTCTTATTATTCTAAAATACACCTCATTTAATTAATTGTAAGTCTACTAAACTAGAAATGAAAAAAAAAATGTATATATTTTATTTGTGTTCTATGCAAAGTCCTGAATGTTGACTCCATTGACCCATTAAAAAAGTTAACATATAGGCTTCACGCCTCAATCACGAATGTTGAACCATGACTCAGAAAAAAATTCCGTCAAAAAGTTGGTAGGTAACGATTTTAATTTTTAACTCGGTGAGTGCTTGGATACTTTTTTTATTTTATTTTATTTTATTTTAACTCAATTTTAACTCAATTCCAATATCACGAGTATAATTAAAAAATATAATAAAACATTTTACGGATCACATTAACTTTTATTCACTTTTCATTACC